ATTATCGATCATAAACAAAGGAAAACGATAAAATCCTAAGGGGAGCATGCAAAGATCGGAGTCGTTGTCTCAATTCTAATTGAGTGACATCATCGGTAGACAAAAGATGTAAACACACAAGCACAATCACGAGGAGAAAATAAATGCCGAATGCCCGCTATAGGTCTTTAAACAACAACTTCGAGTGCACGCTATTTATTTCTTACTTCTCATGATATCTAGAAAAGTGGTAAAGCATGCATCTCTATTCCTACTTATCATGGCTTCAGAAAGCGGTAGGCAATATGGAGATGAGGAATAAAACAAAGTCACGATGATACCTAACGGATAAGGTCCATTGACTCTTCAAAGCCACGCCAGCAAAGAGAAATCTCTACAGAAGCTGCTTCGCACATGTGATCAAAAAAGTAATCTCCAAGCGTTCCACATCACAAAAGTTTTGTCAACATTCGACCATAAGTACAACAAACCACATGAACATTCGATGAAACACAAAGAATATTTTTAGCTTTTTCATGAGCATAACCAAAAATAATCACTCAACCATTTATTCAAGGATCAAGACCTGCTTATTAATCGTTCCAAATGTAAAGAAAGTCGAATCAACAAGGACATGCAAAAACATAATTTATAAGGTGTTGTACGCCAAAAGTTGCCCTCCCATTTTCTTCAAGATATCTCCTCATGCTCATAGGATTTTCATTTGCTCAAGGTTGTTCAAGAATTGACAGACAAATTCTCCTCCTAAGCAATTGCCCTACAACTAGGGTTTCACTTTTCTCAAGGAAGATTGGGTTTCTAAGGCCTCAGTTGGATTTCACGGTTTCTTATATGTCTCCAAGAATGCTCATACCAAGTTTCAATCCTTGCATCACAAGTTTGCTTAATGAATGGCTCAGATGATTGAAAATCAACTGTATTGGACAAAAAAAATCAACTATGGTCAATATACAGTCAAACCTCAAGGTTTTTGGTCAACATCAAGGTTTTAAAGTCATAATCATGATTTGATCAAGGGTTGATCACGACTCATCAAGAATACTCCAGATTCATCAAAAGTCAAAAGTTACCAAATTAGAGTTTTCTTAAGGAGAAGTCAACTGAACTTTGACCAAGCACAACTTTCACATGCTTCATCATATTTTTCTTAACCAAAGCTTATTTTGAAGGAAATTCAATTCTCTACAACTTTGCCTGTCTAAGCTCAAGTCCAAGAGATGCTTCATATAAGAGATGTGAGCCAAAACATTATAGATCATTTAAAAAGTTAACAAAAAGATACCTTTTTTCAAAGGTAACTTACATCAAGATAAAGTATTCAAATGCAAAAATGTTAAAAATAGAGATTGTAGAGGATATCTTGATCTTTCCAAAAAGTCCAAGATCACCTTAAAATGATTAAAATTGAGATAGTTATGACTAGTGCAAGTTGGGAAATTTTGAGAAAATGCATGAAACCAAAAATGATCAAACTTGGAACTTTGGGCTAATGGGCTATTGTTTCAAGGTCCATGCGTGTTATATACTTCATAGTGAACCTCAGAATTTATTCATGCACCCCTTGGATTTTTATCCTATTTATTTTTTATTTTATTTATTTAAAATTCAAAATTAAAAAAAGATAAAAACAAAAGCTTTTCTTACAAGGTTCAAGCCCAACATGTTTGACCTAACTCTTCTCTCTATATACTCATCATTTCATGCATCAAGCCACACGAACCCTTGCATAAGAAGCCATCCCAAAAATTCCAAAAATATCAAAAACTAAGGCAAAGTGAAACTATACCTTGCAGCCTCTCTCAAGGTCGAAAAACCCTTTCATTAACTTCTTGAAGCGTTGTAGGGTAAGAAGAGATCATCCTTGATGATCCAAAGGGCTCGAAATGCGCTACATGCCATGCCGGTTGTCCATCATTGCATGAATGCATATTTTTGTTTTTGTTTGTATTTTTACGCATACTAACCTTGCTAATGTGTTTATGAGGTTTCAATATGCAGGAAAAACCTGTCGTGTGAGCCCCATGATGGATGAATCATAAACTGCCATGCCTGGTCCGTTTCATGTTGTTTTAGTCGTATCTCACAACCTAGCGCGATTTGGCAAAAAATAACACTTCCATTGAATTTGCAAGGCCTGATTTAGGGGGGAAGAGTTCTTTTTATGCATTAATGTGTGTTATTTTGCAGGGGCCACAAACAAGCTCACCAGAGAAGACGATCGGAGTTAGGGCTTCGGCGCCTCTCTGGTCCAGGCAATGTGTTTATTACATAATTATTTTGCTTCGCTTATGATATTGGATGTACAACCACCCCAGTGGGAAATGAGCGCGCATTAAGGCATTACTACACCATGGCGTGAGTTCGATCCCTGCCTTTTGGTGTTTTGATATTTTTTCACATTTTTTTCATAATTTGTAGGTATAAAATATAGCGCACTGATTCCATTCTACTAACACTAAAAGTGTGCTTGGCGCAGTGGTAAATCATGCAGCGTGGAAGGCTAAAGGCGTGGGTTCAACACCCACCCCTGGCAGTTTGTCTGATGTTGCTTCCTACTTGTTGTTTTTTTCCCTAATTCTTTTCCCTTAACCCTAATTTCACCTAACCATAAAACCACAAACCTTTTTTCACAAACATAAAAATAATTGTTTTTTTTAAACCCTAAAAATAATTAGGTTTTAGGTTTTTTATTATTAACCTTTTTTAATTAATTTAATTAATTTTTTAAAAATTAAAATCAATTAGTATTTTTAGGTTTATTTAGTCATCATCAAAAAACCTTTTTTCATAAAAAACATCAAAAAATACTTCTTTTCCCTTCAATTCTATTTTCATTTTACATCTTTAGATTAAATGTATAGGTTTCGTGAATGTAATTATTTCTCGATTTCCTTTTTCATTATTATGTAACTGTTTTCCGGGTTGTAATAGCTTATGGTTTTTAATTTCCTCTTTCTATTTTGTATCTGCCCCAAAGCAATGTAATAGTTTAAGGTTTACGTTTCTATCTTTACTTTCCGCACCTTTACTATTTTTTATATTTACTATACTACTGCTTAGTAACTAGGATTGTATGGAAAGACTAAAAACATACGATAAAAAACCTTAACTACAAAGACTAAAACAACTGAATACAACACACTCGCACACTCACACCTCTAGGGTAACCTTCCTTGTTGCCTTTGGAAAATGGTCATGTCCCTAGAACGTAGGGATGCCTTAGAAAAGATCCTTAATCAAGTCATCATACAAAATGATCATAGTCCCTCGATGACCCTTTCGATGTTGCCTTTCGATGTTGCCTTTCGAAAATGATCTAGTCCCTCGAGTTGCCTACGAATGAAACAATGACAGAACCTTACAAAAATTGCTAAAGCATCCTTACAAGTTACCTTCGATGACGATACGATGACCCTACGTCTGTCCCTTCACATCCAAACGATAGGGATTCCTACTAACTAATGGTACGGATAGCACTATCTAAAGAGAGAGGAGGAAAAATACAAGAACGACCTTGAGTGGGCAGATACTCTTAATCTCTTGCTCAATATTTCTCAAAAAACAAAACATTTATCACAATCACACTCTTCAAAATATTTTCAAACAAACGCTTTGTATACACTCTTACCGATACAAGAGTTATTACAAAGTCCGCCTTACATTGGCGTTTTTCAAAATATTTTTAAACACACACACAAAGCAATTTTTAAAGTGAGCTAAGCGATTAAGATCCCGTAGATAACTACAGATGAAAAGGTTGCTAACACCTTTCATTTTCATAACCTACCCCCGAACTCAAAATCTATCGAGGTCTTTCCTGTTCTTTTCATCCTTTCCTTATTGGATAAAAGAAAAGTCGATGACAACTCTTACTATCTGCAACATTTGCAATAAAACGCAAAACCAAGTCACTTCTCCCATCGTATTACAAAAGGTATTTTTATCAACTATTTCCATCACGTTTTATGAATCAAAAGACTAATGAAAATACCCTAAGGAAACAACACTAAAAACATGCCACATTATCATCAAGAAAAATATATCAAAATCATGTCAAAATTTGAAAGAGAAAAATCAAGAATAAAATGCAAAAGTTCTAAAACAAAGAATGAAGCATTGAGGTATACTGGATGAGGGGGTGGTGTAAGCCTTAGTTTCATAGACTAAGGCAAATGAAGCCCAATGCTTTAACATCCAGGTTCCCAACAATTTAACAATGAAACAAAAAAAAGAAAATTGAAGAAAATAATGACCAAATGGCCAAAACGGCGTCGTATTAAGAAGGCTAGGGTTGAGTTTTGTGTCTCTTCAGCTTCACGTGAAATAGAGATTTAATTTCTCTCTTCTTCTCTAAAAAACAGCGGCGCCTAATTCAAACCAAACCTTTTCGATCTGCCGCCGTCGTCTCAACCATGAAGTCCTCCTCTATTCCGTCACTGCTGATCTTCCTCTTTTGCGGCGGAGCGACTTCCTTGTCTGTCATCCAGAATTCACTCTTCTTCTTCTTCTTTGTTCACACCTCTGTCTCAACATCCATCTTGCTTCAGTCGCGGTTCTGTCCATCTCAATCCCTCTCCATCATGATTCTTCCAACCTCCGCGTAAACTCCTTCGTTTATCTGTCATAATGCAATCTACAAGTGGAAGTAAATAGCAAAGAACAAAGGAATATCGAGTATTATCGGCCGGAGATGCTCTAGAAGCTTTACAACAACAAAATCAATGATGAGAAAAATAAAGGAACTCAGGTGAGCATCTTCCTCTTCGTCTTAATTTTCTTTGATTCCCTCTCTTTCCTCTTATGATTCTTATACTTTCTTCTTCTTCTTCTTCTTCTTCTTTGATATGTGTTACGATTATTGTTGTGTGCAGTTTCGTTACTGGTTAGAGAAGGGTGCTATGCAGAGAACATGAAGATGATGCTGAATATTGGTGATGTTTCAGTAGAAGGTCAAAGAGATTTCAGAGAAAGGTTGTTATGATTCTTCTGCAGCAGTGAAGATGGAGATGCTTGAAGAATTGTGCATTCTTGAGAGTCGCAGAGAGAATAAAGGTGAAGAAAGGTTGCAGGTGGATGAAGGTGGTAATGGTGAGTGAAGGTTCAAAGAGAATTTTGGAGGAAGCTTGAGGTTGATAATGGAGGAGGAGTGAAAGTGAAGAAAATGGTGCGTATGAATGGTGGTGAAGGTTGAGAGGGAATAAAATGGTGGAGATGAAGTAGAGAGAGTATTGAGAAATGCTTTGAAGATTTTCTGGTGATTCTTTAGTAGATTGAAGAAGGATGAAGATGGAGATTTAAGGAGAAGAGAGAGTTTTCTGGAGTAATTCTTTAAAAAAATTAGAGAATCAATCGATTCAGGTGAGTTTTCTGTTATGTAGTTCTGTTATAACTGTAAAAGTTAGTTAAGGAAAGATGAATCTGAGCCTTAGATTTAGGAAATTTGTTATCACAATGAATGGTGAGGATTACATCTGGATTGAAGGTTAGTTTAGGAACCGAAATTCTGTTATTTCATTTTCCTGATTTAATTCCTATTTTTGATTTTTTTTTTGTTTTATTGTTTCCTGAGTTGAAGTTTTGTTAATTGGACAGGGCTGCGGTCATGAGGCTTTATGATGAACTGTTTTTTTCCTTCATTTATTGATATTCTTCATATGCTTTTAGCTCAAAATTTCATTGCATTAGAAAATTTCAGCATTCTATCAGCATTTACAATATGCGGTTTCACTGAACATGAGATTTACGACGACTCCATCAACATAGTCAGTTTCTAATTCTCTCAGATGTTTCACCTTCAAAGTTGAATTCTACTTTTGTTATAATTGAACCGGGTGGACTTGTCGAATCTGAATTTGAATTGCATTGGTGGTAGATTCTGTTGTAAATTTCAACGAACTGATGTGTTTGATAATTTGCGGTTTATTTGATTTATGATGGTGACTCTTTTGATCATACAGGCTTGTAACATGGTGGCAGTAGGAAATCAAGCTAGCATAAGCAAGAGTGGACAAAAATTAGAATTTTCTTGGAACATTAGGAAGACTTGAAAAGCTTTGAACTTGAAGTGAAGAAGACACAAGGCAACGTCTTGAAGAGTTGGTCAAGGGTCAATAGTCAACTATAGTTCTTTTCATTGTAATTTTCATTTTATCTACTTTTGTAACTTGTAAAGGGCCTTTACTCTTGTAATTGAAATTTGTTAACTCTCCAAACAATGAGAAGGCTTCTCCCTCCATTATGTTTTATTTGAACATTCGAATTTTCTATGTACCTTGTTTCTCTTCATTCATGTTGCAAGCAGGACTTGAATGAATTCAAGTGTTTCACTTAGAAGTGTAGCAATGCAATAGCTAAAGTAACCATGGTAGCCAAATATATTATTTTTTGGTTCACATCTTACTCCTGCCTCTTTAGACGATTCACAATAAACCCCAAATTAATGATTTCACATCCTCTTGATGCGACCTTAAAGCCAATTTGTAACATCAATAAGTGAGAATTACATAAGCCTCAAATGATGATAAAAATCAATTCATAATTCCATGCAATCATAATAGATGAATTTCTCACACCGTGCTACATCAAAGTCTTGTATGAGAAAACAACACATATTCCCTTTTATAGATAAAAGATGGCCTCAATGGAGAGACGCACCATCTAACATATTGTGACTAAACCTCTTACTCCATGATAGGAATGACACAAGGGTGAATGTCTTGATTCAAGGATAAAGAAATCCATGTATGCAAGTCCGCACCTTGAACTCCTAGGTAGAAAACCATAATGCCATAACTCGTGAAACAAGTAACCATAAGAAGTCCTTTATATGATGGTCAAACTTGAAAGATGCTCAAGATAACATTAACATGAAAATACAATGACCCTCAGTTGATGAATTAACAAGCTCATACATGATGATTAACAAACCATAATCCATGGCTTTGCTGAATATAGATGGAGAATAACCGTTGTAGCTTAATGAAGAAAAGATCCACCATAATCATGATCCAAAATCCTATCTTCAAACCATGATTGTTAAATAAACCAGTTGATTCAACCTTGCATGAAGATGGGAGCCTAAAAGCACAGATAATCCCTAATACCTCAATATCCTTGATCCCATGAGAAATTATTGATCAATGATGCCTGAAGTTGTTAAATGGCCTAATGGAAAGGTATGTACATGATAATTACTAAGATGCACAAGCCAGATGATCCTTATAAAGGGGTAGGACAAATTTTGGGTATGACAAATGTATAATGTGATCCTCTTTTGTATGAGATTTGGAAATCATATCATCTACGTATACCTCAACTTCTTTGTGGATCATATCGTGAAATAGTGTGACCATATCTCATTGATAAGTTGCCCCTACATTCTTCAGACCAAAAGGCATTACCTTGTAGCAGAAAGTGCTCTAAGGATTCATGAAAGTAGTCTTTTTCATATCTTCGGGTGCCATTTTGATTTTGATTATAACCTGAGAAACCATCCATGAATAAGAACACTGAATCTTGTGTTATATTATCCACCAAAACATCTATGTGAGGTAACGGGAAATCATCTTTGGGACTTGCTTTGTCAGTTCCCGATAATCTACACACATGCATACTTTGTCGTCCTTTTTGGGTACTGGTACAATATCAACTATCCAAGGTGGATAATCTACCACCGCTAAGAACCCTACATCAATTTTTTAAGGACTTCTTCTCAAATCTTACTAGACAAGTCTGGATGAGTTCTTCTGAGCTTCTGTCTAACTGGAGAACAGCCTTCCTTGAGAGGTTGTCTATGCACCACAATATTTGTATCCAATCCTGACATGTCTCTGTAAGACCAGGAAAATATTTCCACATATTCACATAACAACTTGATCAGTCTTTGATGTTTTCCTCCAATGTTACCCCTAGCTTGATCTCTTTTGGACCCTCCTTTGTGCCAAGGTTAATGGTCTCAATAGATTCTTGGTATGATTGTATATTGTCAGCTTTTTGCTCTATCTCCCTCGCCAATTCTTCAGAGAGTTGAAGGTCTTCATCATCTTCCTCTTCCGCTTGGTTGATGGGCGCATCAAAATTATATCGGATATCAGCAGTAACATTATCAGTGATTTTAGGCATGAATCTGCACATTTATCATGTTTTGGTGAAGTTTTAGTATGTGAATTTGGAAAATGCATATGAAGAAAAGTATTGCCATTTTTAAATATAAGAGATAAATGTAAGATAAAGACATGGATCTTAATTGAATGTGAAATATAACTTTTATTAATTGTGAATAATGTTTGAAGAAAATTGGGGGACCCTTACAAGCTACCCCTATGCCTCGGGCTTGACGTAGGTTCTTTCAAAAACAAGAAAAATTACTTTGGAAAGAAAAAAATATCTGGAATTTCCACGGCTATCCAATTCTTGAGCTCTTCACCTGGAGCATATTCACAGATGAAATTAGATGCTTTCTTGGTGTTGCTTTTGTTAGATATCATCGCCACTTGTCCATCATGCTCTGTTCCGTTGTTGATGAATGTCTCCTGGATGAGAGTAAATTGTGCCTTGCCTTTCAGGGTAGCCTTTGATGATTCATATCCCAAACCAAAACAATTCTTCTTCTCAGGTATTTCCATATGTTTACCTTGAACTTTTGAGGTACCATTCTCCACAGCTGTTTGTTAATCTCTCCACGAAGTCATAATAGGTTTATTGATTTTCTCCACCAGTAGGGTTACCATTGAGGAAACCTCTAAGACTTGAAATGGTGTTACTATACATTCTTCATCAGCATTGACATATCTGTAGGACTCTATGTAACTTACAAAGATGTCCTCTTCACCATCGATTATAACCATCTTCCTTCAACAAAGAATTTCAATTTCTGGTGTAGAGTTGAAGTAACAGCTCCCGCTGCATGAATCCAGGGTCGTCCAAGTTAACATGTATACGCTGGTTCTATATCCATTACTTGAAAAGTGATATAAAAACATATGCGGGCCGATCTTGACAAAAAGATCCACTTCTCCAAATACTGTACTTTGGGAACCATCGAAAGCTTTGACTATCATAAAGCTTGGCCTTATAACCACACCATCTAGTGTTAACTTTATCAGACTGGATTTTGGCAACACATTGAGGGAAGAACCAGTATCAATGAGTACCATGGACAGGCTTGTAGTACCTATCTGAATAGAAATGTGCAATACCTTGTTGTGAGCTCTACCTTGTGGAGGCAACTCGTTGTTATTGAAGCCTAGATATGATCCATATGTTAGGTTTGCTACAACATTGTCAAATTGATTCACTGTAATTTCCTTTGAAACCTGTGCATAACTTAGAACCTTTATTAGAGAGTCTCGATGCACTTCTGAAATGAGGAGCAACGAAAGTATTGATATCTTTGCCAGGGTTTAGTGTAGATGATCCACCACCCTATAATCACTCCTCTTGATTATTTTTAGGAATTCTTCCGCCTCTTGGTTAGTAAAATTCTTGTTTGGAGGCTCTCGTTCTTGGTTTTCTTCCACCACAACTTCCCCCTTTATCTTTAACCACAACATCATTCTTCTTTTGTGGTTTGGGACCATAGATTCGACCACTACAAGTCATACCCTCTGTTCCAACTATATTTGTGATCGCAAGTCCTTGACCTGTCAATGGATCACATTCTTGTTTTAAACCTTTAACGTATACAGTAGAATCATAACTCCATTGTACCGCTTTGTTGCTTTCGTAAGGGGTAGGAGATGGCCCCTTAATCACCATTATAGTCTTTAGAACTACTGGAATTCTCAGAGTCTGGCATGGTATCATCATTGGTGCTTCTGTTGACTCTCCCCATATGTGATACGGTGGGAGAACTGACTGTTTTTTGGTATGCTGGTTTGCATTTTGCGTTTGTGTTCGCAAAATGTCGCGGTAAGCAAGAGTCGCCACTGACTTTTATTTTATCCAACAAGGAAAGGAAAAAAGCACAGAAAAATTCATTTTTCGAGATATTTCTGAGTACGGGGGGTAGATTATAGAAAGGGAAGGTATTAACACCCTTTCTATTCGTAGTTATCTACGGGCTCTTAGGTACTTGCTCATCATTTTCAAAATTGTTTTCTTTATGTTTATGGGCTGTGAAAAGTTTTTGTTTTAACTTCGATTTAACTCTTGCTTCTGTCTTCAAGAGTGTAATGAAGTGTTTTTGAAAACTTGTTTGTAAAAGAGTGTAAGTGTGAAAAAAGTTTTGTTTTGGATGAGCAAGTATCTAAGAACTAATATACTTACTCGAAAAAGGAATCGTTCTATGTTTGTTTCCTTTAGACAATGTTATCCCACTATTAGTGAGTAGGTAGCACCGTCATTGGAGTCTGAGGGTCAATTTGAAAGAGGGACATACGGTCACTAAAGCAATGTTAGGACGTCTTAGCGGTAACCCTAATGTCTTAGATCATTTATCTGAGGCAACAATATCTGAGGCAACCTTTCCGAGGCAAATTATGATCTTTTAGACAAGAAGGCGACCTCTAAAATAACATATACTCAATGACCGTTTACGAAGGCAACCAAGTGGGAGTGTACCCTAGGAGTGCGCATGTGCGAGTGTGTTGATTTTAGTTATTTTTATCTTTGCACATGTTTAGGGTGATCTAACTGATTTAAGATTAAACATTCATTCTTGTCATGCAAGCCCTATTATCAAACATCTAACAGTTGAGTATTTGCAGAAATTAAAGTGCGGCATTTAAACTAACTATTACAAGGCGTCGGGTATTTACATCGCCAAAAACAAACCCTTTGAAATTTAAAAGCAGAAAAAATAAATAAATGTCCTAATTAAAATTATTACAAACCGGGAGCAGATACAATAATTGAATAAAAAATAAAATGCGCGAGAAACTTGAATCGAATGCGAAACTAGGGTTTTGACCCTCTAAATTAAAAGAAAATGTTTTTTTGTTGTTTTTATTATTTTTTTAAGAAAAGAAATTAAATCCTAAAATTAAATACTAAATTAATTGGTTATTAAATTAATTAATGAAAAATAATTTAAATGACATATTTTTGG